TTCAGAGAAAATAGAGCGAGAAAGAACTCTCTAAATAAGTACGATTGTCTTGTAATTAAGACTACTGCTTCACAAAGCGAAAACCACTAGAAAATTCACTGTTCTCATATTGAACTCTTCTTTAGCGACAAGAATCATTTAGAGCACAAATCATTACACATTTGTAATGATTTTTGCTTCCCTGCAGGGAAGCAATTCTTCCTCGGTCAAAGTTTAAGAATGTTAGCCAACGTTGAGATCGAGGCTGACTTGTTCGTGCGAATCCCGAACATGACTGATGTGCGTTATGGACACGTACAAGAATATATGAAGCATAAAAATTCTGGAGCAGTGCTACCAAAAGATCTCCAGGACTCAACAAAGGACCCCGGACAATTTCACCCAAAATCGATGACAAAATACAGCCAGAAGTGTTCTACTGCCAACACTAGAATATTTCTCATGCTTTCTTCCAAAAATCGAGGAAATCATGTAAAAATTACGGATTTCTGCATTCAGATCAAATTCTAGAATGGCAGAGGCGAATACTGCGAGAATATTTGTGATTAAAACAAATGCAAAAACAAAAATAAATCAAAACTTCCTCCCCACGTCATTCTTACAACACTATCACGCGCGAGTATCCCTCATCGGAAGGATGTGTGCGGAGGGTCTGAAGGTCTGAAAGCAAAGCGAATGCACAAATGACCGCTGAAAATGACGAACTAAAGGATGGAGATAGACGTGAAAATAAAACGGAAAAAGCCAAGTGAAGAAGGAGGCGAAACTTCAAAGAGGGAAAACGTTGAGGTGGAAGTGAGATGGTTATGCTGCTGGGTCTCCCCGAGGTCTGCGCATGCCACTGCTAGAGGAGAGGGCTCCAGACAGAAAGTGGTCCGTATAATTATGGGTTGTCACCTCATCAGCTCAAGAGGAGGGGGAGGGGAGGGGGGGAGGATACACACATATACCTTTATGTGTGCCATATGCAGAAAACCGGTGAAGGAACTTTGAAGAGATTCAGGATAGGGTTCTAGGTGCGCAATCTTTAGTCTCAAATTGTGTTTTATGGCTTTGGTTTTTTCGGGGACTGGTGATTGGAGGGTCCAAGTGGTGGTTCTTGGAAAGAATTTGAGTGTTTTTGATCGTTTAATCGCGAGGAAAAGTCATTTGCATATACAGACAGTGAAAAAAATCCCCAAAACAACATGTTTTTAACAAGTCTGAGAAAAATTACCAAGATAGAATTTTTTTATTTTTTGGATACACCGAAGTTTCACTCAGAAGGTGGGGCATTCTTGTAAGACGGTGTCTTTCAGGATGAAAATAACTCAAAATTAGACAAATTCCAACCGCTCCAATTATTATTAATACATCTCCTCCTCCATTGTGCCATTATGCGGTCAATATCAGCAATATTAATCAAGTAAAGGTGAAAAGAGAAGAAAAACCCTCATTTTTACAATCTCCAACGTTTCGAGAACTAAATGTTCGAACCAAATTATTATTAATATTCATCCAGAATTACTACAAAGAAATTAGCTGTAGTGAAATCACTGCATGCCGTGAGATGTTTAAGCATTATGCAGATCTTTAAACGTATCAAAAATTTTTCAACGTATCAAAAATAACTTTCATAAAGTGAGATCCATAAGGAATAATTTGTTCCTAATTTACACGTATTATATCATCATTACTATTCTACATAAGGATTCATTCCTCGTCTTTGAGTATGAGATAGCTGGAATGAAAGACTGCTGAAGACCGTCTATACAAATCCGATGACATTATGATTACTTAAATTGTTCAATCTCATCTATTCTCAAATATCGTTCTATTCCGAATTGAGACGATTATTGTTAATTTCGAACGATATTGACCCGTTTGCACGCCATTTGCATGATTCAAATGATATTATAACCAACAACCGTTGATTTTAGTTGCGGTTGATGCAATAGGGCGACGAATAAAGGGAGTTTTGAAACGCCATAAGTGGAGAGTTTAGAAGGATTTCATTAAATCATATGGATTGGCTATAATGTATGTTATTGAGCGGAGCGTTCAAATCGCGCTCTATAAGTTGCAATAAGTCCAATTTTAAGGCCCCGGTCATGGGGGATGGGGCTCGCTGGAGTGTAGGGGCCCAGTGGTTGTCAGAGTTGAGAATATCCTTTAAACTCAATTTTTCATTTATTTTTATTTTTTTTCCCCCTTGCACTTGAGGTTTCGAGGGGATTCGACAAAATGGGTCTGGGTGGCGAATGGAAAGAACGGAGAATCGAATGATCACTGGTAAATGTTTGAACCCGCAAGGGGCCCTTGAGCGAAACCCACCACTTACTCGTCAAACGGCCCAGCCGGTCCTACGAAATCACTGCCATTTAGATAATTTGTAATGAGTAGGCATTCGTATCGCAGTCTCTTTTTCATTTTTTTTTCTCTTGTATTTTTGTGTCCTTCCCACCTTTTATCCTCAACCCAACACTGCCAAGCCACTCCCATTTTGAATCGCGGGATTTCGGTTAAGTATCAGAATAAAATGTGTCATTTTTCGGACGGTTTTGATTTATGAAACAGATTAGGAGAGGTTCCTGGAACGTTTAAAAAATATTTTTATGTGTTAGCTCGAGGGGCAGTTCGGGGGAGTTCGGGGGAGAGGGACTTCTTGCCGAAGAACGCGAATAATCGTTTCAATCTTGGGATTTTAAGGAGGAAAAATTGATTATTTGAACCCATCAATTTGTCAAAAGAAAGAATCGCCAAGAAAATATTCAAAACACGAAGATTGTTTTGTTTTGCACCAATTACGGCTCAAAACCATTACCGGAAACTTTTTGTGTTTGATTTACAGCGAAAAATGCGCTATATAAATTATAAATTATGTAGAATATTTAATAAATAAATAAATAATAAATTCTTTTGAATGATATTCCGCACTGATAGAATGATTCATTTATTCCAAACGAGATTCGTTAACTATTAACGAATGGTAGAGTTGAATATGACCAAATGAATATTCGTTAATAGTTAACGAATGGTTGACTTGATGGCGAAAGTCAAGACAAACAAGGCTCCTCAATATACAATCGTTAACTATTAACGAATGAACATTTGGTGAGACCGAACAGCTCCTAATCTCCAACCAAAATCCATTCGTTAACAATAACTAATCCGTTCTATCAGTGCGGAAATTTTAATGAAAAATAATACAGAACTTGCATACTTGCATTTCTTTCCCAAACATTATCAACTTGTTCCAAGACAAATAAACCCGGGGGAAACGATTGACTTCAATATGTAGTTCAAAATGTTCGATAATCCAATTTGTTTTGAACTTTCCCAAAAAATGATGGAGTGCAAAAGAAGCGATCCGTTACCATCAGACGGGTTTCACAAAGAACTAGAATCGACCTCATTCTTCAAATTTCAAAAAACGAAAATTAATTCGAGAAATCGAGGAACGTGCCGACTGAACACAGACGGATAAACAAGCGGTAGGCTTGATGGATCGCCCTGCTTAACCAAATATCAATCACACTGGTTTGTACCTAGCGTTACAGTCTGCATATAATCTACCCGTTGATTTCCGCCCGCGCGTGTTTGCCCATCGACTTAGACCTTCTCTCTTGAAAGAAAAAAAATACCCCGAGATTTTCCACCCTAGATGTTATGAAACTGCTCAGCAGTGATGGATCCCCCGTGAATACCCGGATATCAACAGATTTCAGGAACATCGAGAGATAAGTAACCCCTATCACTTTCAGTTTGAGTCATCGATGAAACGATATAAATTAACGATAAAAAATTGGCGGCAGTTGTCACGTGATTCAGTGGATATGTTCTGATCCAACTTGGAAGGGAATCAGTCTTGAATTCACCGGAATCCTTTGGAGGAGTTGTAATGTATGCGGTGTCACGTTTTCACCCCCAGTGGGTGCGTCGTTGACGCTCGCTTCTTTCCCCAACTCTGTCGTTTGTTATGCCACTGCCAACAGTTGGTCTTGCCACGATAAGTCCTCGTCTTCTCCCATTGCCCAGATCTCTCTCGTTTCTTCTTCTAGCATTCTCCACCACACGCCCTTCATTCGTCAAATGTCTTCTCTCCCGATTTCTTTGGTGTTCAGACTCAAGTTTTCGCGAGCGTTTATTAGTAGGAGTGATTTGTTGATGATAAATTGAAGACACTAGCGTCACGCCGGCCGCGGTGTTGACGCCCCTTTTCTTGTCAGAGTCGATATTCCTTATTTCAGTTGATTGTACATAATCATGCCCGTTGCAAAAAGCAAACAGATGTTACATTTTCATGTTATAATCAATTATTTATTTGCTCATGTTCTAATTCCTATTCGTTTAGAAAACGAGGTCTCAAATTAATTCAAGTGGTTTTTGCCTTAAAATATTTGATGATTGAAAAAACTATAAAAATTATAAAATGAATCAATTCAATTTTACTTGATTTGAGAAATCGCTTTCTTGTCATTGAAATGTCAGGAAATTGTCCCCATCTTTAGGACAAGTACAAAATTACTTGACGTAAGTTTTTGTTTCTTAGTGCAAGATATTTTACTCCTGAAAATTTTCAAGCCAGAAGTTTCTTGATATAAGTAAAAACATATTTCTCAAAACCACTTGTTATTGTCAGTTGTTATTGTCTCATAATTCTAGCTATTAATTCCAATCAACTTTGTTCGGAAAATACCTTAATGAACGCAACATTAATAAAGTAGAATTATTCTATTTTCCCCTGATCTAAATTATTTGGACAATTAAGATTCGTTCATTCATGTTTCATAGAATGATATTTCATTTTCTTTTACCTCACATGTCACATGTTTTCATAATCAACATGTCACATTCGTCAGAAAATACTTTTATTTTACTCGGCCCGACAAATCGAGCTTTAGACTCGCTTCTCTAAAGTCAATTTGATTGGCAGAATTGAATATCTTTCTCAGTGTACTGTTATAACATCTCGCCTTTTCAACTTTGGAATTAATTTTTAGGCGTTCTTTATTTTCCAGATGTTTCGAGGATGGAAAAATCCCCCCTCCTTGCTAATGGGTATAATCAGCCACCCACTCACCTCAGTCACATGCAGTATATGCAGATGGGAGGACATCCGGGCGCGGGACACACGGCTATCCTCTCGCCCGCCAATCTTCCACATCATCTACAGGCACAGGTGCAAGCTCGGGTGGAGCAAGGACTCAAGGTCAATCCTAATATGGCTAATATGGAGGCGCTTGCGAGGTCAGTATCATCTATTTACAAGGGACAAAAGTTATTAATTCAGGAGCGAAGCGGTAAAATTGAAAAAAGATTTTTAAGAATTATAGTTCTCACATTCATTGTCCTTATGATGGTCAAAGTGTCACGTGATATACTTTTAATATCGAAGTAGTTGTGAATTGCATTCAGATAGGATCATCAACTATAGAGATATTTCAAAAGTTTCTTGAAACGTGAGTGGATTAATTTCAGCCCAAAGGAAATCATCACTTCAGTAGTGAAGTGGTAAAACGGTTTAAGCCAGTTTTGACTATCCGTCAGTTTGCAATGAATATCTAGGAGTCTACGGCAGATAGCAAAATTTTGCTCATAACCTTTTTTGTGGCTCTTAATTTGCTCTACAAAAAAGGTAGGTACGAAAATTTAGCTCTCTCCCTTAGATTCAGAGATATTCCTTGAAAACTCAGCAAAGAACTAAGAACTCAAACTTTCTGGATTTAAGAATCAAGACGTTTCTCATCCAAAAAAAATATTCAAGACTTGATAAGACTGATCATTGTAATAAGTTTTGCGGCAAATTGAAATTTTTCATCCATCTACTTCTTTCAATTTTTGTCAAATTCAAAATTAAAATATTGATATTATTTTTCTCCCTGGATGGAAGCGAATTAATTAAGTTTTACTTTCTTGCTAAGTTGTGATGAAGGCACTCAAAGGAGCCTTTTAACTCTCCCCTTAATATTTCGATTCAATTCGTACCCTCGATCTACCCACTAATGATATATATTTCTCGGTAAATGATGAACTGCCACAGCGGGTAACATTTTCATTAACTCTGATCTCTTTCGCCTCCTCAAAAACCTCGAAAACTTCCTGATGATCGCCATTGAATCCGCGGTTATCTCTAATACGCAAAGGAAAATTACACAAAATCAGACTGATGAAACTTTTTAACAGAAATTTTCACTGCTTTTGCCAAAAAACAAATTTTAGTTTTTCGAGATGCATCCGTAACTTTTAGGAATTGATCCTTAAGTTTCAGGAATCTATCTTTAATTTTTAAGGATCCTTTGGCCTCTAACTAGAACAACGGCAAATTTACGGGAATCAATCACTAAAATTTACAAACAGAATTTTTGAAAATCACTCGTTAAATTTCAAAATGCCGCAGATTTATAAGAAATGATTTTTTTTCATTGCGTTTTTTGAAAATATTTGCCAAACGACAGTTGTATTGAAATTTCTAGGAATTCCATCATTGAAAAATCAAAATTGCATGATGAAATCAATGGATACTATAAAGTCAATTCAATTAATTCGTGAAAATTAATATAAATCAGGCAAATTTAGGGAAATGAAGTTTGTAATTTTAAATTCATTGAAAATTCTGCGTAATCTGGTGCTAAAAATCCATCTTTTGATTGAAAATTCCAGTAAGTTGACGAAATCTTACTTCTCTGCAGTGATTTTTAAAGTTTCATGATTGTTTCTCCCCTGAATCAAATTCGATGCAAGGATAGGCAATCATATTAGATTTTGACAATATTAAAAAGGATTATCTCCTTATATTGTTCAAAGTTTAACTATATTCAACTAATTTAAAAAATTATAGAATTTATTAGCTAAATTTTTCGATTGATGGTGAATAAAATATTTGATAATACTGAAATGTAATTTTTAGTTAACAAGCTAATTCTAAGTTTAGGTACTTGATTTTCGATTATCCAAATAATCATCAATTTTCCTACCTAAATTATTGGTTGATAGAATATTTCGAAATTTAAATGTACAAATTGATGTTTACTTTAATATTTAAAATTTTGAAGATTTATGTTAAAAATTGACGTCACAATTTAACGGAAATTATGATTGATTGATATGCCTATCACTGATTCGATGTTATTCTCCTGAAAATTTCTATTAAACTGTGCAGGCAATTTCAATGGTTTTCTAATAGTGATGTTTCAAGTGGAAATTTGGTGCATTTGACTCGATAAGGTGATTTCTGATGCACCTCGCAAGAGTAGGCTACTCTGGCGAGGCCAAAAGAATTCAGCATTAAGAGGATTTGAAGAGTTCGAAGGAAGCCGTGGAAATCCGAGGGGTCTCGACACTGCTTGATCTTTTTCTCTCTCTCTTTTTCTTATCCAACTGAAATACCCATTCTTGACTTCATCCTCGTCTTGTCAATGCTCAGCCACTCGTTTTGTTTTCCTCTTGCGTCACTCATGGATTTCTTGTTTCCCTGTTCTTTATGTTCGAGGGTAAAACTACAAAATGGGGGGAAAATCACCCTCGGTCTTACCAGTGGAGGAGAGAACGAGTGCATCGACTTGACACACGACCCCAATGGCTCTCACACCTGCTGAGAGTGTTCTAGAAAATCCAATTGTCGATTTAAACGCATTTTTATTATAATCCACAAAAAATCTTATGTCTTGTTCCCCATTCAATGACAATTCTATCAGTTTGAGAACTTGATATTTGAAATTTTAAGTGTTCTTAGTGTGAGACTGGATGAATTGCCAACCTGACACAGCGAAAAAATAAAGTTTTGATTTTTAGGAATAAGTCACTGATTTTCAAGAATCTGTCAGTAATTATTGGTGATACTGGACATGTACTTGAATGACCCTGATCACCAGTGACTTTTGGCACTGGAATTTAGTGATAGATTCCTGAAAATTAGAGTTGGGGTCCGCCTGAAAATCAGTGACATTGACTTAGACTCCGGGACAATTCTTAGTACTATTGAATCCGTGTCAGTGACTCTGGAAATTGGAGAGGGTTCATGAAAATCAGGGATATTACTCTTCAAATTGGTGACGACAGCACTGGAAATTAGTGATAATGTCATTGATAATTGGTGACAAAATTGCTGAGTTTCAGAATTTTGCATTCATTCAATTGCAGAATCGTGAATCTCTAATAAATCGGGATAAATTACTAAAAATGAGTGACATGTCCCTAAAAATTGAAACATTTTTTCGAGGAATTTAAAGAATTTGCCGTTTTTGTTTCGAAGAAATTGTTGTTTGTTTGCACTCTTTTTCCGTTCTGGATGATATTTCTCTAGCTTTTCAATTATATCATCTAATCATCAATCGCCTTAAGCTTTCAAAGAAGAAAAATAAAGTTTTTGTTGAATTATAAAAAAAGTTTCCAAATTTGGGAAGATTACTCTCAATTAAATAGTTTTCATCTCAAGCTGAGAAATTTTTATAGAAAATTTTCCCGAAAATCTGATAATTCCGCTGTATATTGACCTTTGAAGACTCCCCAGACCCCCAGACCTTTGAAGAATTCTCCCCAGAACTTTAGTAAAAAAATAAAAAGCAATTACGAGATTTTAATGGAATGACATCCAAACTAATTCTTTAAAACTATTCAATTTTGAGCGCAATTCTTGCAATTCCAAGACTTTCCAACGCACTCTCATCCCACAAATTCATAATCAATTATCAAAAAATAGTTGTTCACGTCTCTCCCATTATATTTATCCACAACAACGTCAGGGCGGCCCACCACACGCTCCGTATGATGATTCCATCGCTCAAAATAATTTCAAACCAACTGATTGCTAAACTATTCAATTTTGGGGAGAAATACTTTCAATTTCAAGACTTTCCCACGCACTCCCATCCCACAAATTCCTAATCAATTATCGAAAAATAGTTGGTCACGTCTCTCACGTTATATTTATCCACAATAACAACGTGAGGGCGGCCCACCACACGCTCTGCATTATGATTTCAGCGCTTTGCTTTTAATTAAAATGCAAATCTATCGTTTGAGCGCACACGCCTCGAAGAGTGCGAGAGAGATCACGAGGTAAGACGGATTACGTCTGTGGGGGGGGGGGGGGATGGGG